AATAAAGACAAAAATGATACTTCATATTTGATAATATTTTATTCATTATAGCAACCATCATACAATCAGCATCTATAAATAATACTTTTAAAGCCAGACTATTTGATGCTTCAAGTAAATTATTAAAAATCTATGAAAAAAATAATACTTGTTTTATCTGATATTACTGTAGTTGCTATTATAAGTTCTCTGGTTAGGTTGACCTGGAGACAATATCAACATCTCTTCGCCTCTACTTTAGGCAGTACTAACATCCTCACACCCAACTTGTGAATACTTGCTTGAAAGGATGATCAATAGATTGTGCATATCAGTTCTAATTTGGATTGATATTGGGTATTTGCTTGGGAGAGTAATAAAAACTACTAAAACTAGAGTATCGAAAGAAGCAATGGACACGTAAAAGAGTTGTGGTAAAGGATTGGCCTTATCTAAATTGGAAGCATCTCTGGTACTGTAAAACAACTAGCTAAAGAAGGTAATTTTATAGAGGCAGACTAGCTAATCTAGTACATCTAAATGCATCAAGTCAGAGCTCTGGTTATACCTATATGGAAGTCAATGATGAAAGAAGCCAGATACATTAACGATAATGCAATACCAACCAATAAGAAGATCAAGTTGGAAGTCAAGATAAATTAGGGTGCTGTCTTTTAGTAATATGACACAAAGTCTACAGTTAGAAGTAGGTCTCATCCAGGCTTTACAAAATATGGTTTTGGTAATACACCATATAAGAAAGTATATATAGATTAGCTAGTAATACTATACTTAAAAAAATGTTAAGTTCTGAGATAGCAAACTAGTAGTAACAGCAGAGCTTGACTTGAGATATAGGTTAGTAGCATTTAGACAGATAAGTGAGAGGGTAGGATTCTTGATCCGGCAATGTAATATCAACTCTGTCATATAGTGAACCTAACTAGGCAGCAAGTTCCTGGCTTGAGATACGAGGCTATAGAAAGGTCACTTGTACCAATTATAGTTGTACTAATAGGATCTGTTAAGAGATTTGCAATAGATCGTATTTGCAGATACACCAATTTGGGAGCTCATTAGAAGTGAATATCTAATATACCAACTTGGAAGTTATGACTAGTCATATGAGATATAGGGAATATGTAGTTACTAGAAATAGTTAGTTGAGAAGCACAAAGCTAGGTAATATATGTATAGGGCATGAACTATTCTAGTAGGTTTAGATCGTAGATAAATTAGTCTAAGTCTCTATAGTTTGTAAAGTTAATATATATGTATATGTAATTATTTATCAAAGCTATATGTTAATAAAAACCAGAGGCGTAACCTCACCTTAATATTAAAAAAATAAAAATAAAAATAATTGAATCTGACTTGGCCATATTCATATAAAACCAACTAAATAATTATTAGTTCCTTTAAACTTTGTATTAATGTAGTAACTAGGTTTATCATGCTGTTTTTTAATTAATTTCAAATATGTGCTACTTGTATTATCTACAATGCATTTCTCATAACAAATAGTTTGTACTATATTATATATATTATAGGGATGAATGTATTTTTCAGAGTATTTTTGCTATAAAATCTCAATAATCATACTAGCCCATATATCACAAGAAGCAAGTAATCTAATATTATCTTGTATTTTGTTAATTGACAATATCTAGATTCAACTATTGTAATATTTGAAACTATTTCATGTCATGGATCATAATTTAAAATAAAATCTACATTTTCTACTCAACCTGTTAACCTTCTAAAACCCACTTATACTTGTTTATTATAACTTTACTTTAAAACTAACCCCTAACCATAACCTTTATTCCTAAAAAATGCACCCCAAAAAATTTTATTTTCAAGATTTTATATTATAATTTCATTTTGATCTAGATTTCATTATGATCTGCCACATTTTATGTTTGTATATACTAATAATATTAAAAATACAGATTTGATTGTTATTTTTCTATTAGTATATATTTATATGATAGGAGTACCTTGCTGATTTGTGATCTCAATCTCTTTTATCAAGAGTATGAGTTTCTTTATATAGCATATATATCTGTTTTTTTGTGTATGTATATACTCTGTGTCAAGATATATTATCTACCTTATTATTTTCTCCATGGGTTATGCAAAAAGTGAAACCATACTCTTTACTATAATTTTTTAACTATCTAAAAGTAGATAAATATTAAACCTTTTCTATATATAATAAAAAAGTATATTTATATATGCTTACTTATCAACTATCTTCCAAGTTTGAAAAGTCTGATTCACAGTTAATAAATATATAGGTTCTGCAAATTCAGCTTTGTTCTTAAAATCAAATTCATTTTTCTTGTTGAAAACATCAATATTATCAAAAGTATTCTTCAAGATTGGTTGTTCATTAAAGTTATTCAAAATACCCTCAGAAGTTATTATATTATCTATAAAACTAGTATAAATGTTGTTAATCTGAAGCAAAGATAAATTGTAAATATTGCTAGTATAAGGCAAAAGTGAGTTAGAAGCATCACTATTATAAAACAGAGATGTGTTAAAACTGTAGTTAATAGAAAGTAGAGATGAGTTAGAAGCATCATAAGTATAAAGTAAAGGTGAGTTAAAATCATTATTAGAGTTAAAATCATCATTATGAAAAAAGGTAAGTTGTTTATTTGTGCTAACAAAAGAAAGTATAAAACAATATTATAGTATAAAAAATGATTTTATTTGGTGATACAATATAATACAATATAATGCATTGCACAATTGATTATATTATTTAATAAATTATTAATACATATGAGCTGATTTTTGAAATTACTATTTAAATAAATTTTTTTTAAAAACTTTAATTTTAAATAACTTTTTATAAATTAATCTGTTTAAAGTAATTTGTTACCAAAATACTTACCTTTTTAAAATAATTCTAATGAATCTAAAATTATTCAAATTGAATTACAGAATTATAAGATATTGTATTATCAAATAATGACACATTCTCTATACACGGCTGGTGAGTTTGACATAGGTCAAACCCACCAGCCGTGTATAGAAGATGTGTCATTATTTGATAATACAATATCTTATAATCCTGTGATTCAATTTGAATAATTTTAGATTCATTAGAATTATTTTAAAGAGGTGAGTATTTTGATAACAAAATTACTTTAAGCAGATTAATTTATAAAAAGGTATTTTTAAAAATCAGTCTATATAACTATATATAATAAATAATATATATGATCATTGGTGTTAAACACTATAGGCATATTTTATAACTATTGTAAAATAATATTTAGTTATTTTTATAATATTTAGTTACTAATATACTGTAGTATAAATTTATAAAAAATAATTTCTAATTATGTATATTATTAAGAACTATTAAATATTTTAAATTAATACTTTTTGGTTTGATAAAAATTGTATTTCATTTGTTTTATTATTATCATTATTATTATTATCTTATTATTATTATTATTCTCTTCTATAAATTCTTTTAAATTATTATTATTAGGATGTAGCAATTTAGTAAAATAGTAAAATTGTCATATCCCAAGTGGTCGAGTACAAGTTTAATTCCCACAAAGAGTAAAAAATTAAATTTAGAAAAATGGATTCAACAACTATTATTGTGGCTAAGAAAACTCAAGACCCTGTAATTGTATTATACCAATTAACAGTTTATCAGAACTAGGAGATTCTGAGAGTATTTGTATAATAGAGAAGTTATACAAAAGTATGAAATGCAGAAAGCTACAGTGCTAATATGGTAATGGGGTGCTCGCTTAAAAAATCTTGAATAGAGAGATAATACAGATCTTTGATGATACTACTGAGATAGAATACACTCAAGGTTAGTATAACTGAATAAGAAACAGGTATTCAGCAAGAATACTCTACTAACCAGGCCACTAGAGCATTGACCAGAAGAAAAGGATCTGTATGCAGATATCAAAAAACTGGTATCTTTCTAGGCTATCTTGATTGGTAGTTTGAGAAGATTAACTAAAGTGATACTGAAAGTGAAAGATATTGGGTAGACTTAAAAAGAAGTATCAGAGTTTGAGTGAACTCTATAAGGGCTAAGTAGGTAATAGCAGTGGTCTTGGCTTACAAGTATTTGTTCTCGGACTTAGTGTAAATTATTGAAAAAGACTAAATATTATAGTAATAGTAGATACCAGGCTGCTTTAACAAGCAATACCTCAAGGATAAACTAGTTTTAAAGGTGATACATGA